CGCCACCATCACCACCACCGCCACCATCACCACCACCGCCACCTTCGCCACCACCGCCTCACTACCTCAACTGCTACTGCTGCATATATATTGTACTTGTACTATCCTGCAAATTTTATTTTTTTAAAACAATATTATTAATATTAAACAACCAATATATATCACAAATGTTATTGGCTTGCTACCACCGCCACCATTGCCACCTTCGCCACCACTGCCACCACCGCCTCACTACCTCAAGTGCTACTGCTGCATATATATTGTACTATCCTGCAAATTTTATTTTTTTAGAGCAATATTATTGATATTAAAACAACCATCATATATCACAAATATTATTATATATACATACATACATATATATTATATATACATACATACATACATACATACATACATACATACATACATACATACATACATACATATCTTGTACTAGCCTTCCATTTGTACTGAATCTTTATAATAGAGTAATAACCTTTATAAATCAGCAATATCAATGCATTGCTAGGTCGACCATAGCTTCCACTTGCATTAAACTCATATGTCCCAAATGCAATATGTCCCAGAGTGTATTAAATGTAATTATGTTGATATCAAACTGTATGACGATTCGTTTTCACTATTATTGTACCATTTTTAGTAATAAATTAATATTTAATGTGTTAAGTTAATGTTTGAATAAGCTTTTATCAGAAATCAGTATGATTGGCCGACCACCACGACCACCACATTACACCTATGAACCAATCAGCAACAACCTTTGAAACAGTGCGACCTCACTCGGCGTGTCTGTAGTATACTGGCTACCAGCCGGCAATACGGCTATCAGCCGGGCGTGTCTGTAGTATACTATAGTATACTACTACAGACACGCCCGGCTGATAGCCGTATTGCCGGCTGGTACCCGCGATGTATTGTAGTATACTATAGTATACTACAGACAGGCCCGGCTGTTAGCCGTATTGTCGGCTGGTAGCCGTGATGTATCGTAGTATACTACAGTATACTATACCGACAGGCTTGGCTGACAGTTGTATTGCATTGTAGTATTGTATTACAGTTAAATAACCCCGGTTGGTAGGCGTGATGTTTTGCAGTACACTATAGTATAGTATACTACAGACACGCCCGGCTGATAGCCGTATTGCCGGCTGGTAGCCGTGATGTATTGTAGTATACTATAGTATATTACCGGCAGGCTCGGCTAACACTCGTATTGCATTGTAGTATTGTATTACAGTTAAATAACCCCGGCTGGTAGCCGTGATCTATGCCGTAATGTATTGTAAATGTTGTATTAAAGAGTAGATACGGCTCCGCTGGTACTGTACCCTTGGCCGTGTACAATGGTGTACGTATTTACGCAATCATAAATCGCGCTGGCTAAGAATAACCTCGATATATACAGTAAATTAACATATTTTCCGTGTAAGATGTGGTGGCGCAGGGGAACAACACTTAGCGTGTATGCCGAGGGTCGTAAGTTCGAATCTCGGAGTGAGCGCGAATAATTCTCAATTTTTCTCTTTGCCGTAATTTTTTTTTCTCGTTTATTTACCTGTCGCATAGCTAGCTGTATTCATTGGGAAGATGAATTTAGATGCATTTCGATGATTTTCGGAAAATTTAATGTAATTTTGGTGGTTTTCTGCTTATGAAACATTCTAGAACCAGTCTCCGAAATGCGCGCATTTTTTGAACGAATAGTATACTAGTTATAGTACAGCCCGGCTGGCAGCCGAGCAATCGGAGACAAAATTTCCGGCTGTCAGCCGGCATCAAACGCGCTAATCGGGTGCAATTTCCCATGTGTAATACAAAATGACTGAAAAACGGCAAACTTTGCAGGGCTTAGTATTATCCGCATTTTACAACATTTCGCAACAAAATTTCAGAATATTACTAATTTTGTGATGCTCTTTCAAGCTTATCTAGATCAAAACTTTAATCATTAGGTAATAGGTCCATTAATTCATGTTGCTCTTCTACCATACCTAATTCATCAATTAAGTTTGGTACATGATAAGTACCCCCATTTGAAACAGGCTTAATTTGTAATTTCTAATAATTACTCTTTCGTAACAGTAATTGTAATTTTTACTTTTTTGGTAATTTTTATACCACGTGTAAATGTCCATGACTTTCCATGACTAAAATTGATTTTCCAGGATTTCCAGGCCTAGATTTTGGATATTGAAATTCCATGACTTTCCAGGTTTTCCAGGACCCGTACGAACCCTGCATCTTACCATCTATGCTCAAACAGACGTAGCTAACTTACTCAGCATTATCTTTCAATGCCAGATGATCAGACTCGAAATAAAATCTCTTGTACACATCATTTTCATCAGGCACTCCTTCATCCACGCTCGTGAATTGCACTTTTTGTAAAGAATATTTGTTACTTGGAAATTCCGTCTCATCTTCAACCAGCTTTTCATGGTCTTCGAAAAGACCAGAATCCACTACCGCATTTGAAAGACGACCTTCTTTCTTATCACCAGTAGCAGAAGTTCTAACTTGCTTGCATTTCCCATCAGATCGTGTATCGTTTCTGTGACTGTCTGGCGAAGGCTCCCGTTGGCTTTCCGAAATTTCGTGCTCTATTGGGTCGCTAACAATATCTATTTCGTCTAATTCGCATTCAATTTCAGTAGAATTCAATTGCTCTTGCTCTTCCAAGCTTATATCTGCCATTTCTTTCGTATACAGCTCAATTTCCGTCAGTTGTGTATTTTTTAAAACACGATATTTTGGCCGCCATTTTGTTCGAACACAGCAAACCCAAACTTTTCGCTCAAAAATTATTCCCACGTTTTCCCGCCGAAATATAACACAATCTTATTGGGCAATACGATGCACAGAATGTATTAGCAATCTCGTAATAGCCAATCAGATCGCGAGAGTAACGGATAAACTTGTCCAATCAAAGTAAAAGCAAAAATAAAGTGTATCATGATCATCTTCGGTTGAATTGTTATTATTGATTAAGTATGGAACAGGCCAGGGCCGTTTCATCGACACAATCAGCCTATAATGTACCAAGCGGCGCTAATAATCTTGTGAATCAGATATGTTACGACTTACGAATAGTACGATTCTGTATGGGCCGGCCATAAGAGGGTCTAGATGGGGGAGGGGGTGGGGGCTCTGAAAATCAGTAAACGGTAAAACTTTTGGTATTTTAACGGTATGAAAAAATTTGGTATTTTAACGGTAAATCTTTGAATCTGCTGAAAAGTGTTCTGCCCCCTAAATTCCTTGGCATGTACTAAAAGGCGAAACGTCGAAACGAAACGACCGAAACGAAACGGCCGAAACCATCGAAACCACCGAAACGACCGAAACGAAACAACCGAAACGAAACAACCGAAACGAAACGACTGAAACGAAACGACCGAAACGGAACGACCGAAACGAAACGGCCGGAAATGTAAATGCGGATACGGACGGACGGACGGGGGGAAGAGGCGGATGGACGGGAAAAACAGGCGGATGGACGGGAGGACAGGCAGATGGACGGGGGGGGGACGGCTTCATTTGACGCAAAACTCAATTTTAAAATCAAATCCGCGTTTTGTTGCAAGGGATATATTAGGATATATTATAAAAGACTATTATTAATCGTAATAAATTGTCCGCGAAAAGTTGATAAACTAACATGTGGAAATGTAATTGTTTTTGTTTGTGGAAACACCACGTAAATTTATTACTGCAAAGCTTTCGATCCGTAAGCCCGGATCTTCATCAGTGCTAATAATGTGTGGAAATGCTGGGTTTTTCAAACCTTCGTAACGCTTGATATAAGGATAAAACGCGGATATGCTGCAACTTTCATGCTTAATTTTCTCAGTCATCTGGGTATGTAGTAATCTAATTTTATGCAATGTAATGTGTTATATTTTCAAGGGCTTTTCAATGCAGTTATCGGTTTAAATATACCTAAAATTCCCGTTAAGTGATATGACAATTGCCGTACGGCCTACTTTTACGCAAACGAAAATTAGCTACAATTGCCACTTTCATGCTTAATTTTCTCTGTTATCCGGGCATGTAGTAATGTAATTTTATGCCAATGTGATGTGCTGATGAAATTTGCAGTTGTAATTTGCGTTTGCGTAAAAGTAGTCCTTACGGCAATTGTCATCACTCAACGGGAATTTGAGTTATATTTAAACCGATAACTGCATTGAAAAGTCCTTGAAAAAACAGCACATTACATTGCATAAAATTAGATTACTACATACCCAGATAACAGAGAAAATTAAGCATGAAATTTTTGCAATTGTAGCTAAATTAAATTTTCGTTTGCGTAAAAGTAGGCCGTACGGCAATTGTCATATCTCTGAACGGGAATTTTAGGTATATTTAAACCGATAACTGCATTGAAAAGCGCTTGAAAAATAGCACATTACATTGCATAAAATCAGATTACTACATACCCAGATGACTGAGAATATTAAGCATGAAAGTTGCAACATATCCGCGTTTTATCCTTATATCAAGCGTTACGAAGGTTCGAAAACCCCCGCATTTCCACATGTATTTTATCAACTTTTCGCGGACAATTTATTATGATTAATAATAGTCTTTTATAATATATCCTAATATATCCCTTTCAACAAAACGCGGATTTGATTTTAAAATTGAGTTTCGTGTCAAATGAAGCCGCCCCCCCGTCCATCCGTCCTCCCCGTCCATCCATCTGTCGCCCCCCCCCCGTCCATCCGCCTCTTCCCCCGTCCATCCGCCTCTTCCCCCGTCCATCCGCCTCTTCCCCCGTCCATCCGCCTGTTTTCCCCGTCCATCCGCCTGTCCCCCCGTCCGTCCGTCCGTATCCGCATTTTTCGATTTTCCTGTAATTTACATTTTCGGCCGTTTCGTTTCGGCGGTTTCGTTTCGGTCGTTTCGTTTCGGTTGTTT